CCAAAATTAATGTCAACTGATGTACATCTTATAAACAATAGCTATTGTTTCTAATTTTTTTCTTACTAAGGGACAAGTACTGAGTTTGGAAAAATATAGTGGACATTTTTGATAGCCGTAGATCTGCCTTAAATTAGACTTTTTAATAAAATTCACATGTTTCCGACACTAATGTCAACTACTGTACAATACTATAAACAACAGCTGTTGTTGATAATTTTTTTATTACTCAGGGACATGTACTGAGTTTGTAAAAAAATTGAACAATTTTTCTAACCTTTTAAATCTTTAAATTAGAATTTTTAATGAAATTAAAATTTTTTCTATATTAATATCAACTGCTGTACATTACTATAAACAACAGCTATTGTTTAAAATTTTTTTCTTACTCAGGGACAAGTACTGAGTTTGGAAAAAAATAGTGGACATTTTTTATCTACGTAGATCTTCCTTAAATTAAACTTTTTTAGAAAATTTCTACATTTTCAAAATTAATGTCAACTGCTGTACATATTATAAACAATAGCTATTGTTTATAATTTTTTTTCTTACTTAGGGACAAGTACTGAGTTTAGAAAAGAAAGTGGACATTTTTTATCGCCGTAGATCTTCCTTAAATTAAATTTTTTTAGAAAATCCCTATTTTTTCAAAATTAATGTCAACTGCTGTACATATTATAAACAATAGCTATTGTTTATAATTTTTTTCTGATTGAGGGACAAGTACTGAGTTTGGAAAAAAATAGTGGACATTTGTTATACCGTAGATCTGCCTTAAATTAGACTTTTTTAGAAAATCCCCATTTTTCCAAAATTAATGTCAACTGCTGTACATATTATAAACAATAGCTATTGTTTATAATTTTTTTCTGTTTCAGGGACAACTACTGAGTTCAGAAAAAAATAGTAAACGTTTTTGATAGCCGTAGATCTGCCTTAAATTAGACTTTTTAATAAAATTCAAATTTTTCCGACACTAATGTCAACTACTGTACATGAATATAAACAACAGCTATTGTTTAAAATTTTTTTCTTACTCAGGGACAAGTACTGAGTTTGGAAAAAAATAGTGGACATTTTTTATTGACGTAGATCTTCCTTAAATTAAACTTTTTTAAAAAATTTCTACATTTTTCCAAAATTAATGTTAACTGATGTATATCTTATAAACAATAGCTATTGTTTCTAATTTTTTTCTTACTTAGGGACAAGTACTGAGTTTAGAAAAATATAGTGGACATTTTTGATAGCCGTAGATCTGCCTTAAATTAGACTTTTTAATAAAATTCACATTTTTCCGACACTAATGTCAACTACTGTACATTACTATAAACAACAGCTGTTGTTTATAATTTTTTTATTACTCAGGGACATGTACTGAGTTTGTAAAAAAATTGAACAATTTTTCTAACCTTTTAAATCTTTAAATTAGAATTTTTAATGAAATTAAAATTTTTACTATATTAATATCAACTGCTGTATTATTTTATAAACAATAATTAATGTTTATAATTTTTTTCCTATTTAGGAACATGTACTGAGTTTGTAAAAAAATAAATTACCTTTTCCACCACCTTAGTTTTGCTTCCGACATTAGTGTCACCTGCTGTACATTATTATGAACAACAGCTATTGTTTATAATTTTTTTCTTACTCCGAAACATGTTTCAAGCTTGCCTCAAATTTATGTGCAATCTGGGTATAATTAGTAGATTTTTTCCATATTTATAGTAAAAATTGTCTTTATGCATAAATTCTAGATAATAAATCCTGCCATAAATGTATAGTAAAAGTTACTTTATTAATTTTTTTACATCAAGATTTTCAAGAAATAATGAAGCACGTTTCTTTTATAGAAATAGTTTTTGGTTAATAAAAACGAGACTTCTTGAGAAAAATAATTTTCTCAGAATACATATATATATATTTTTTTTATTATACAAAAAAAAGAGACGTTTTCGTGGACCAAATTTCACATGTCAGTGAACTTAAAAATTGTTCATTTCAACTTTAACACGTCCTGTTTGACTTTCTTTGCTCCTTTCTCTCCATATTGAGTTCGTTAAGACGTTATTACGAGCGGCGCCATAATTCAACTTTGACCTGAAAAAAAGTGGTCGCGGCTTAGCTGTGTTTAGTTACGTGTTAGTAAAATGAGAAGGGCGGGACTTCTCGTTATAGTAGTTGACAGAGTCGTGCATGCTTCATCACATCGAATGATCTTCCGGTATATAAGTCACAAACAGACGGCAAACGTTTATACATAGAAAACGAAGTCCCGTGGTAAGAAATCAAAAACAAAAAAAAATTCGGACACCGCCTCGAAAAAAAAATTTAGCCACGTGTCTCACTTCACTTCTGTGTTTATTTACCAAAAAAAGAAAAGAACAATTTCATGGAAATTTTACAATTATTTTTTTCCCGCCCTTTCGAATACTTCCGGTCCGCCCACTTTTGTGTATCCGTTTTGTTTTGCATTTTTAGAAATGGAAAATTTACGGCAAAGAGAGGGGAAAAAAAGGAAATGGCAAAATAGAGGCGTGCGATTTTAAAGGGGCACGTGCTACAATTTCCGACCCTGTGCCTGGTGATGGTAAAATCTTCCGTTCGAAGATCAAATTAATTTTCGTTAAAATTAATTTTAATTTAAATAGACGTTTTTCAGTCTATTTTAATTTTACCATTTTTCTGTGTGCGTTAGTCGCGGTCGTTAAGGCGCTGGCCTTCTATTATACATCTTGCGTTCGAATCCTCGCAAAGGAAATTTTTTTTCTATTTAATTTAATAAAATTTCCTTCCAGAATATAACGAAATTCACTCTAGAAGTGGCAATGAAGTATTTTTCATTTAAATTCCATCGAATTTTGTAAAATATTTCGCCCTGGAAATTTTCAATTTTTTTCGATTTAAGTTGAAATTCTATCGATATAGAAAGAAATTAAAGGTAAATAAAATATTACTATTCGTCGAACATTTTAATTTTTTTTCATCAAAGTTTTTTTAAGCTAAAAATATTTTTTCTGTTTTTAAAAAATGAAAAAAAAAATGTGATGGGAATTGAATTGTCATTAGAGCGAGAAAACTTCTTTGTTTTAAACGTGCGAATATTTACACGATAATTAGCGGTACTTGGCAGATGGTTTCAAATTAAATCTAAAAGCAAAATACTTGCGGGAAACAAAAAGATTTTTATTATTAGGTTAAAAATATTTCTTGCTAAAAATTATTAACAATAACTAACAATAAAGAAAAATTATAATAATTTATAATAATTATCATCACTAAAATAATAAAACTGGCGACAGTTATAATAAATAATATAATAAATAAATAATAATGTTAATATTACTATTAATAATATTATATTATTATCAATTATAATAAAAATAGATAAATAATAATAAAAATAGTAATGAATTAAATTCTGCGCATTAATAAAAATAAAAAATATAAAAATTGAGAACTGTAGAAAAAAATGATAGCAAATTTTTTTTTCGCTTTTTTCCCTTCTTTTTTTCTACCTTTCAGAAAATATTGCTTTCCATTTCAAGAAGAAACGTCAAAGATAATGTCACGAGTCTTTTCAATTGATCAAAATATTTTTTTTCTCTCCAATTTCGAAACTCTTTATTAAGAAACATCTGCTTATCTACGAAAACTCAACCTCACTTCTTGGGAGACTGCCAAGGTCCTAAAACTCTCGACAGGACTCTCGCATGGAGTGGCGGAAGTCCAGTCTGGTAGAACTGTCAGGAGGTGAAGACAGGGTGGTGAAATTTTTCTTTTTTTTTCTCTCTCTCTCTGTCTTCTTTTTTTGTGAGGGTAAATCTATTTCACAACCATTTGTCATCCCCCTGTTATTTTAATGGATCACTTTCGAGATTTTTCTTTTTCATTCAAAAAGCGGACGCATTTTATTCAAAATACCTTTTATTCGCTTGTATTTTACTGTGGAAGTAGCTAAAAAGAAATGAATTTGAAGGATATTTTGTGTGAAACGAGAGGGAAAAAGAATCTCCAACAATTGTGTGTTTTTCGAAAAAACATTGAGGGATAATTTTCTTTTTTTGTTATTTTAATGGAATTCTATAAAAGTAAAATTTTCATTCTGAATCTATTTGTTAAAAAAGGTAAAAGAAATTTTATTCTTTAATTTTAAAGGAGTAGTTTGAATATTAATGATTTATAAATAATGATTATCAATTATTATAAATAATTGTTATTAATTATTATAAATAATTGATATTGAATATTATAAATAATTGATATTAATTATTAGGTATAAATAAATTGATATAAATAATTATAAATAATTGCTATATAAATAATTATCAATTAAAATTACCTATAAAATATTACAAACCAAAATAATTTTATTATGTACATAAGATTTTATGAATTATATTTATTCAAAATTTTTTCTATTTTTAAATTAACTCAAAATTTTTTTTACAGTGACGAATCAGAAATCTATTTGAGAGAGAAGCGAACTTATCTGAAGCTATTTATTTCAATTTTATAAGGAAGGAGGAAACACAAGCAGTGAAGGGGTAAGTCAAAAAATATCAATAACAGTACTCTTTATTACATTAAAAGAATATTATATTTAAATGTAAAAATCTAATTTCATTAACTAAATAAAATTTATAAAAAAAATATTAAAAAAATTTAAAATCGAATGTAATAGAAAGTAAGACAGAAATATTTTAAAGAAATAATTATATTTTATTTCGATAACTTTTGAGTTGTAAAATAAAAATTATTTAAATAATTATTTTCAATATTTAGTGGATTTTCAATTAAATTAGCATTTGAGAGAAAAGTTGATAATCCCCTATTGTAAACAAGGAATAAAACGACCGTTGGCAATGTCAAAAGAACATGTTTTCTTTCTGTCCTTGTCTATATTTTCTTCAACGACAATAAAAGTAGGCAATTAAATTGAGCCTTTTTCCCCTTCTTCTCCTTCCTTCGTTTTCACTGTTTACCTGAGGAACATTGCCACCGCGCCTCAGTTCTTAGACACTCGTTAGTGGGAGAAATGTTTAAATATAATATTTTATTTTAACAGATAACGAAACTTTTTTAATATTTCTAAAATAGTTATAGTAATATAAGTGCATTCAGTAACAATCAAATTTCTATTACTACAGAACAAGATCTACAAAAAGCCCAAAGTGATACTCGAAGTCCAGAGGAAGAACTTTACTTTGATTTTCGGTCGTCTTATGTCTAATGAGTAAGTAACTTATTTTTCTTTATTTTTCTTCAAAATTGAATTTAACACATAAAATTATATCAATAAAATTTTTTTATTCTTTTATTTAATAATAGATTTTTAAAATTTTCAAATAATCAATTTTTCAACTTTTATTGACATACTAACTTAATTTTTTTATTTTTTTGAATTTTATTTATTAAGAAAATAATTTGAACAATTAACAAATTTTCTTAAGTCTAATTAAATCAAATTTTTTTCACAGATATATTTTCTTTCTTCTTTTATCAAGAGCCATCGAGAAGAACCACACAGAAAAATTCTACACCTCATTTAGTGCTCACTTTTTATTGTATAGGATATTTTTCACTGTTTGCTAAAAATGTTCGACGAATTCAGAATTATTTTTTTCTGATGTACTTCAAAAATAAGTATTGTAAATTATTTAGACAGGAAGTTTAAAACTAATGGTAATAAGATAATATTAGCTAGGAAATTAGAAAAATAATATTTAAAAGCACTTAAAAGAAAAGAAAAAATTTCTTTTAAAGAAATTTAAATTAGGCGACTTCAAGAATCAGCATCAACTTCATGGAAACACTTTTTTCATCAAGAATGAGGGGTAAGTCAAAAAATAACTATATTCTTAACATTTTTTTCTTTCAAAAAAATATTTACTCGATTCACAAAAAAAAATAAGAAATTTTTTTCTTCAATATTTCAATGAAATTCAAATTAAGCGGACATAATTGTCAACTATTGCTACATAATTATGAACACTAAGAATTGATATATATTTTATATTTCTTATTCAAGAACAATCCTACCCACTCACATTTGTTTTAAATTACATATTTTATTGAAATTTCCATTTTTTAAACATTAATGTCCTATTAATACACACCAATTATTACTGTTTAAAATATTATTAAATTCAGAGATATTTACTGAGAATGTTAAAAATTAAAACAATTTCCTATCCAAAAGATTTCTTTTCAAATAGAGGTTTTACTGAAATTTCCATTTTTCCAACAATAATGTCCATTGCTGTACGTTCGCATAACCGGTAATTACTGTTTCTAATTTTTTATAAAACTCAAATATTTACTGAGTTTGCAAAAAAAGTAAGAACATTTTCTATCCAATAGATTTGCCCTAAATTACTTATTTTCCATTAATTTTCAATTTTTCCAACATTAATGTCCACTGCTGTACCTTATATGACAAGCAGTAATAACTGTTTATAATTTTTTACAAACTCATAAATATTTACCGAGTTTTCAAAAAAATTAAGGACATTTCCCATTCAATAGATTTGCCTTAAATTAGACATATTACTTAATTTTTCCATCTTTAAAAAATTAATGTTCACTACTGTACGTTATTATAAGTAATAATGAATACTTTTTATAATTTTTCTCAAACTCAGAAATATTTACTACGTTTGCAAAAAAACTAAGGACTTTGTCCATCCAACAGATATTCCTTAAATTTAACATTTTCCATAAATTTCCTATTTTTAAATAATAATGTCCACTGCTGTACCTTATATTGAGCAGTAATTACTGATTACAATTTTTTTCATAATCAGAAATATTTACTGAGATTGAAAAAAAATTCAGGACTTTTTCTACCTAATAGATTCACCTTAAATTAACTAATTTTCTTAAATTTTCTGTATTTAAAATAATAATGTCCACTGCTGTACATTTCTTCGAATTTAATGTCAAATGCTGTACATTTTGTGAACAATAGCTATTGCTTATAATTTTTTTCACACTCAGGGACAAGTACTAAGTTCAAAAGAAAATAGTAGACATTTTTAAAACTCGTAGAGTAATTTAAAATTAAAATTCTTTATGAAAATACTTTTTTCCGACATTAATTTCAACTGCTGTACATTTTATGAACAATAGCTATTGCTTATAATTTTTTTTCTCATTCAGGGACAAGTACTGAGTTTGAAGAAAAATAGTAGACATTTTTGACCCCCCTAGTTTTATTTTAAATTAAAATTCTTCATGAAATTACTTTTTTCCCGACATTAATGTCAACTGCTGTACATTTTATAAACAATAGCTAGTGCATATAATTGTTTTCTTACTCAGGGACAAGTACTGAGTTTGGAAAAAAATAGTAGACATTTTTGACACCCCTAGTTTTATTTTAAATTAAAATTCTTTATGAAATGACTTTTTCCTGACATTAATGTCAAGTGCTGTACATTTTATAAACAATAGCTATTGCTTATAATTTTTTTCTTACTCAGGGACAAGTAATGAGTTTGAAGAAAAATAGTAGACATTTTTAACCCCCCTAGTTTTATTTTAAATTAAAATTCTTCATGAAATTACTTTTTTCCCGACATTAATGTCAACTGCTGTACATTTTATAAACAATAGCTATTGCTTATAATTTTTTTCTCACTCAGGGACAAGTACTGAGTTAGGAAAAAAATAGTAGACATTTTTGAACCCCCTAGATTTATTTTAAATCAAAATTCTTTAAGGAATTACTTTTTTTCCGAATTTAATGTCAAATGCTGTACATTTTGTGAACAATAGCTATTGCTTATAATTTTTTTCACACTCAGGGACAAGTACTGAGTTCAAAAAAAAAATAGTAGACATTTTTGAACCCCCTAGATTTATTTTAAATCAAAATTCTCTAAGGAATTACTTTTTTTCTGACTTTAGTGTCAACTGCTGTACATTTTATAAACAATAGCTATTGCTTATAATTTTTTTCTTACTCAGGGACAAGTAATGAGTTTGAAGAAAAATAGTAGACATTTTTGACCCCCCTAGTTTTATTTTAAATTAAAATTCTTCATGAAATTACTTTTTTCCCGACATTAATGTCAACTGCTGTACATTTTATAAACAATAGCTAGTGCATATAATTGTTTTCTTACTCAGGGACAAGTACTGAGTTTGGAAAAAAATAGTAGACATTTTTGACACCCCTAGTTTTATTTTCAATTAAAATTCTTCATGAAATTACTTTTTTCCCGACATTAATGTCAACTGCTGTACATTTTATAAACAATAGCTAGTGCTTATAATTGTTTTCTTACTCAGGGACAAGTACTGAGTTTGGAAAAAAATAGTAGACATTTTTGACACCCCTAGTTTTATTTTCAATTAAAATTCTTCATGAAATTACTTTTTTCCCGACATTAATGTCAACTGCTGTACATTTTATAAACAATAGCTAGTGCTTATAATTGTTTTCTTACTCAGGGACAAGTACTTAGTTTGGAAAAAAATAGTAGACATTTTTGACCCCCCTAGTTTTATTTTAAATTAAAATTCTTTATGAAAATACTTTTTTCCGACATTAATGTCAACTGCTGTACATTTTATGAACAATAGCTAATGCTTATAATTTTTTCTTACTCAGGGACAAGTACTTAGTTTGGAAAAAAATAGTAGACATTTTTGACCCCCCTAGTTTTATTTTAAATTAAAATTCTTCATGAAATTACTTTTTTCCCGACATTAATGTCAACTGCTGTACATTTTATAAACAATAGCTAGTGCATATAATTGTTTTCTTACTCAGGGACAAGTACTGAGTTTGGAAAAAAATAGTAGACATTTTTGACACCCCTAGTTTTATTTTCAATTAAAATTCTTCATGAAATTACTTTTTTCCCGACATTAATGTCAACTGCTGTACATTTTATAAACAATAGCTAGTGCTTATAATTGTTTTCTTACTCAGGGACAAGTACTGAGTTTGGAAAAAAATAGTAGACATTTTTGACACCCCTAGTTTTATTTTCAATTAAAATTCTTCATGAAATTACTTTTTTCCCGACATTAATGTCAACTGCTGTACATTTTATAAACAATAGCTAGTGCTTATAATTGTTTTCTTACTCAGGGACAAGTACTGAGTTTGGAAAAAAATAGTAGACATTTTTGACACCCCTAGTTTTATTTTCAATTAAAATTCTTCATGAAATTACTTTTTTCCCGACATTAATGTCAACTGCTGTACATTTTATAAACAATAGCTATTGCTTATAATTTTTTGCTAACTCGGGATCATATTTTGAATTAAAAAAAAAATAAATGACATTTTATAGCAGTTTTAATTTTTTTTAAATTAGCGTATTTAATGAAATTCACATTTTTTAAACATTCATATCAACTGCTGTACTTTCTAATGAACAAAAGCTAATGTTTATAATTTTTTGCTAACTCAGAATGATTTTCTGAGTTTACAAATAAATAGATGCCTTTTTATACCAGCTAAGATTTTATTAAATTAGCCTATTTAATAATTAATTTTAATTTTACTAATAAATTTATTGTTTATGAATAAATTATATAGTTATTTGTTTGATAAAGTTATTTGCTATTTATTATTAATTAGTAGTTAGCAATTAAATAAGAAATTAAAAATTTTTTTATGTAAAGAAATATATTTTTATTGAAAAAATTATGGATGTAAGTTTTAAATTTTGCAATTTAAATTTTTTTACTGGTATGATTAAGTTAACATTTTTTTTTTTGTAGAGGCATGCTCTTTTTTTAAGAGGCATCGGTGAGAGAACGAAAGCGGAACAGTGTGGCCCAAGAAGACATCGAATTGTGTTCGAAATTTAACTGCAGATCTGCGAAACGTGTAGTGCTTAGCTTTCGGTGTAGTAGAATATTTTTCGTCGACTGATATTTGTTGTCAATTATTTAGTTAGGAATTTTCGAAACCAAAAATATGATTATATTTTAGCTAGGCAATTATTAAAGTAAGTTCTTAGTTTTAAGGAAAAAAAATTTTTATTTCTCAAGAGACTTCAAGATCCAGCATCAAGGGACAACATTCCTTCCGTAGAGATTGGGGGTAAGTTAAAAAAGAACTTTTTACCTTCCTCTATTATATCCTACATCCAGAAAGTTTGATTAAATTATAAAAAAAATTTCTTCTATCTTTATTTTTTTTTTGAATTTAAATAAATCAAAAGTAAGAATTTCAAAAAAAAAGGTAAACTTAAAATTTAATAAATTAAATATTAAAAAGTAAGCTTTAAAAATTAAGAAATTAAATATTGAAAAGTAATTTTTTTTAAATATTAAGAGTTATAAATAAAATAGAAAAGTTCAACGTATTCGACAGACAGTCAAAGTAAATGTCAGTTCAATGTTAAAATTTCGTTTTTTATATGGAAAGAATTATACTTTACATTCGATTTACTAGAAGCTTAAAGAATATAATTATGAAAGTTTTTTTAAAATAAAATTTGAATAATTTCAAATAAAGTAAAAATAAGTTAATATCCTTACTAAATAGATCATTAAAAATAACGTTTAGAGTGGCCTCTTTTAATCTAATAAGAATATCTGGGTGTAGGTTTCAATTTCAACAGTAGTTCATACTTGTATACCATTTACTGCGACTTTGTAAATATTATTTTTATTTTATTAATTTATTTAATTTAATTAATTATTTTTAGTAATTTAATTTTAATTAATTTTATTTCAATTTATTTAATTTAGTAATATTAATAATATATCTGGAATATCGCAGTAATTGGTACAGTTTCTTTTTAGTGTGAGTAAAAGACCTGTTTTCTGAATATTCTTTGAAACTATATCCTTTTCTTTTTGAAATGCAATCACAGTTTTTAAAGTTTACTATCTCAGGTAACTTACGTGCAGAATTGTACAAAATTCGCCACTCTTTAATTTTTGTTAAAAAATATTATTAATTTTGTTGTTTAGTATTGTTATTAGCTAATTCTTATGCTTTATATATATTTTCTAAAGTTATTTAATTTGAAGAAAAACAAAGAAATATTTGAAAATAGTAACTCATTAAAATGTAAAAAATTAATGGACTTGGTGAAACCGTAATTAAAAGTAAAAATTTATGAACTTTATGTAAAACAGAATTGAAAGTAAACATTTTAGCAGTAAATTAAAATTTTCCGAGTTGTAGAATTAAGTTTAAATAATTTTTTACGTTGTCTTTAAATAAAATAATTCTTTCTCATTAATTAGACTTTAAAGATAGGAATTAAATAAGTAAATAAATAATCAAATTTTATTTTTTTCATAATATACTTTAATAATTTATTTATTGTATCATAGAATATTACATGTTTTCATTCAACTTAAAATGTAAATGTTCGCGAAGCTATCATTCAAAACATAACATATATTTATGAATTCTTGCACATAAGTAACTTGTTGATAAAATCCTCTATGTCATGAATTATATCTTCATTTCTGCTTCTTCTTTTGGTCTCCTTTTTTTCATACGTTTCTGAAACAAAAAAAGGTCTTTTACTCTCATGGTTTGAAGCAATAAAGTGTAGTTGGTAAATAGAGTAAAACTTATAATTAAAACTTTCTAGTTCAATGATTCTAAAAAATGAGAAATATTGTTTCATTTGATTTATTTATAAATTGACTTTTTCTTTTTCAATTTAATGTAAAATATAAGCTTTGGGCTTATACTTAAAAATTTTAATTTTTTCAATTAATGAAACTTTAATTAGAACGAAAGTTAATCTAAATGTGAAACATTTCAAGTAGTCAAATTTAAAAATTTACAAATATTTAAATAAATCTTAAAAATTTAACATTCTAAATTTTGAAAATAAATTGAAATATCATTTTCTCAATTTTTAGAAAAATTAAAAATAATTTATAGTAGATTATATATTTTTATTGACAAAAAAATTAGTGCGTACTTTCGTCGTGCCAAAAAAGATTAAAAAGATTAAAACCTTCTGGTAAATTATATTTTATAAATTTTGCAAATTTTAAAGTTCAAATATTCTGTTTTTAAATTTAAGTAGGGGAATGTAGTCAAGGTTGGCCTACTGTCTAGGTAGGCCACTCGCGTTTTTTTGTCAAGTTCACTAGCGCCACCTACGCGCATTTTTGTCGAAGCTTGTCTTAGTGAAACCTAACTTTTTGTTCAATTACATTTTCGGAAAATCGAAAATTGTGTTTTCTGTGACGTCGGTACAAAAAAAGCTCAAAAAAAGTTTTGTGCATAATGTGAAAAACCATGAATAAAAGATAAAAAACAAATTGAATCGTCAAGGCAAGTATGCAGAAAATTTGTGGGACTCATGGTTGAAAGGAAAACAAAGTAAAAAATCGAATCCCGAAACGTATTTCTTTATGGTTACAACAATTCGGTAATGTTACTTACTGTCAAGGTCGGCCACTATGTGTTTAAAATGCGCAAAGTTGAGGACGAGCTACTTCATTTGCAAAAACTGCAATTCTGTATAACTCATAATATAATTGATCATCTTATTAATATTTTTATTTAATTTTATTAATATTTTAGTGCAAAACTTTTTTTTATTTATATTTATTTTTTTATATTGTTTATTGTTATTATTTTGTTATTTCATTAAGTTACAAACTGTAAACAATAAAGAATCAATTTTCCGTAACTCCAAACATGTTATTTTATTTTTTAACGATTAATGCCCTTTGAATTTTAAAAGTGGCCGACCTTGACTGTAATGGCCAACCTGGACTACAAATTTTTTTTTTTTTAAATCTTTATAACTTTTTCATTTTTAAACCTGTCAATTTACTTTGTACAGAAAAAATGTTCCTATTAAACAGGACTTTCAAACCATATACTTCAATTGTCCAAATTCATTTTTAAAAAAAAGTTATAAACAAAAGTCAAAAAGGTGGCCGACCTAGACTATGTTCCCCTAATTAATTTAGATAATTCCATTTTCTTAAATAAATTTTTTTATTCTTTTCTTCTTTTAATTTTTTTCCTTTATTTCTTTATTAAGTTATTCATTTTTTAATTGTTTATTTTATTATTTATTTCAAAATTTTTGAAATTTATATTTATTTGTACAAGGAGAAAATTTGTTTCTTATATTTTACAGAATTTTTCAATATAAAAGTTAGGATATAATGGCGTAAACGTAATTATTTAATATTTCACAAAGAATTATTTTCTATGAATTAATTTAGTAATTTCAAACATTTATATTTATTAAAAATATGTATATTTTTAACATTTAACAAAAAAAATAAAATTAGGGAATAAGCATTTTAATAAATCACTGTTTTATTATATTAAATATAAATTCAAACATTATTAACTGTTCAGTAAATATAAATGTAGCGAACACTTATCTTACATTACTAAAGTGTAGTGACATTTTAAATGCTCAGTTTGAAGTTTTAATTTACTACTGGGAGCACTAATACATGTATCAGAAAATGTTAGCCTTTCATCCCAGTTTTATCGAACTTAAGTTCAGTAAAATTTCAGGAATAAATTTTGTCCGTGTACACTTAACTTTATGGAATTTATTAATTTCTTTAAATATTAAATATTTCTTTTTAACGATTTGTTTTCTTTAACATTTTATTTTCTTTCTTTACTTCAATGAATTAGTTTTTCTAATATTCTATAATTTTTGTTTGTTTAATGTTAAAAACAATTTATTTACTTATTAAGTTTTTATTCAAAAGAAATTTAGAAAACGTAAAAATAACGTTTATGCAACTTAGGCGTATTATGGATACTTTATCTACCTGTACCTTTATTGACCGCTCGCAGGTCAATAAAGTACCCATTATGACTTTAGGGTAATAATGGTATTGACCAGTGGATTATGGGAGAACTTAACAAGCACCGGCACAGGTAGCCTATAGTAACCATAATACGCCTTTCTTGAATAAAGTATATTTATTTATGATTTACTATTTTTTAAAACAAAGAAAAAAATTTGCAAAATTTATACATACAAAGGTTTTTTTTGTTGGTACAATTCTTAAAAATAAAAAAACATTTGATTTTATAAAAAAAACTTTTATTTAAATTAACGCAGCATAACTGTTGTCGATCCAAAGGTAGCATCAGACTTGAACCATCTAGAAAACAGAAAATAGACGAAGTTTAGTAATTGAAGGGCTGGCTGCAATAAAAGGACGATCGCGTGGTTGAAAGGGATAATATCAGACAGGTAGCAGCGAGCAGCTCAAGGCTTGTCACTGCTACCTGACTGGTAATATCCCTTCCAAGCCTCGCGTTCGTCCCCTTATTCTATGTAGCCCTTCAATTAACAGGTAAATAGATAGAATTTTGTTGTTGTTTGAACGGCACGCATAAAGTGTACGCACTTTTATTTTTGTTGAGAAAAATTAAGGAAGAAGGAGAATTGAAAATGTCTGCCAGTAAGAAACTTTAATTCCTCTTCATTCCTTATGATATTTATTTCTAAATTTGAATCAGTTAGAAGGAACAACAGTCATAATTATACATCATTGACTTCGATTGAAACTAATTGAAATTAATGCTGTATTATTATGGCTAAAATACTTCTGATTGATTTAAATAATCGAATTTTCCTCCAACACTTTCCAACCTTAATTCCTGAACCTCCACTCCTTTTTTCTACACTTTCCGATTTTTCTATCCCCTCTCTTTCCTACTCTTACAATGGAGAGTTAGTTCTCTGTTGGTGGGAGGAGAAGTAGGAAATGGAGGGGATAGAAAAGAGGAAGTTGGCGACTTCTCTCTCTCCCTAGGGAGAAAAAGAAGTCGTTTCCCAAGTGGGAGAGTTTAACGACTTTCTCTTCCACTTGTTGGCGACTTCTCTCTCTCCCTAGGGAGAAAAAGAAGTCGTTTCCCAAGTGGGAGAGTTTAACGACTTTCTCTTCCACTTGGGCTCCCCCACTTGGGAGAAACCAAAGTCGTTCTCGAGGAGAGAGTTTCCGACTTCCATCTCCTCGAGTAGGGAAGTTGGAAATGACCGAGTCTTTCCACTTCTCAGTAGAAGTCGAAGTCAAGGAGAGGAGCACCACAACTTCTCTCCTTGAGAAAGAAAAAGGGGGGGGTGTACGTCAATTTTTTTTCATCTCTAGAGGTCGGTATTCACAGTGACCTTCTTACCCGTTCGACTTCTTCTGGAATTGAGAAAGTCGCCATCCCCTTTCTGAGGACGACTTCGGACTTTTCTCTATTCCTACTCAAGGAGAGTGAAGTCGACAACTTCTCTCCTTGAGGACGACTTCGTTTCCCAGGTGGGGAGAGAAAGTCGTCACACTCTCCCCGGGAAAGGTAAGGGAAGTAAAGGGAAGGAGGTAATTCTCAAGTCCTTCACTAGGGAGTCTGTGAAGGACTGAGTTGGTGGAAAGACTTTCTTTCGGACAGAAAGGCTTGTTGCAAGTCTTTTCCACCAAAAGGAAGGGAGGTAGAACTGATGTCTGCTCTTCCATTGGTCAACAGAGACTAGCCGGTCCCCCAGGGAAAGAGACGACACTTCATCTTACTCCCAAAGAGAAACTTCTACTTTGGGAGAAGAAGTTTCCCTCTACTCCCTAGAGAGTAAGAGAAGCGCGTTTTCCCTAGGGGAGACTGAGTCCCTCCAAAGGAGAGGTGACATCAGCTCTACTAGGTAGATAGAGAAGTCGGTCCCCCAGGGAAAGAAGACGACACTTTGCCTTATTTGTCAGGAGTAAAGCAATTTCTACTAATTCAGACATTGCCCCACTGCCTAGAGAATAAGTAAAGTGCGTTTTCCTTAGAGGAGACTTAAAAGACAGAAAAAAATAGGAAGACATGAGCAAAAAAGAAGATAGAAGAAAAAAGATAGTTGAGAGAATAGTTAACCCAGTCGCTCACCAAAGAGACAGTGAACGACTGAGTTGGAAAAACTAGTCGGTCCTCCAGGGAAAGAAAACGACATTTTCGTCTTATTCGACAGGAATAACCCAATTTCTACCAGTAGTGAGAGAAACTGTCCTATTCCAGAGAATAAGCAAAATGCGTTTTCCCTAGAGGAGACTGAAGTGAAAAAAAATACAAAGAGAAAGAAAAAATATGATCACTTCCTCTTATTTTTCAGGCGTAAAACAATTATTACCACTTTTGGAAGAAATTGTCCTACTCCCCAGAAAATAAGTGAAGTGCGTTTTCATAAGAAAGTTAAATAGGAAATTTGATAGATAAATTGATAAATAAAAAGAAGAAAAAAGAAGTCGTTCCTTCCAGGGAAAGACACGATCACTTCATCTTCTTCGCCAAGAGTAAAACAATTTCTGCTACTTGTGGGAGAAATTGTCCTACTCCTCAGAGAATAAGCGGAAGTGCGTTTTCCCTACAAGAAACTAAGATGCAGATTAAACTGGTAAATATAGAGAAAAGTTATTTTTTTGGGAAGGGGCAAAAAGGAAATTTTTTTCTAGGGAAAACCAAAGTCACTTCATCTTATTCGCCACAAGTGAAGCAGATCTGCTACTGGAGGGGGAAGTTCTCCTATTCCCACCGAATAAGTGAAGTGCATTTTCCCCAGAGGAGACAGAGATAAGAATAGCACAACAGATGGAAAAAAACAAAGAAAAATAGAAAGAAGAATCTCAGATTTATCTGAATCGATAAAAATTTGACAGATTTCAATTCAGTGGATGATGTTTTTTTTTGATAAATCAGTGGAATTTCACCAATTCTCACTGGAATTTTACTAAAAGTCAATAGTTTTTACTGATCCTCAGTGAAATTCCATTGATTTATCAAAAAAACTTCGTCCACTAAATTTAAATCTGGGAAATTTTCACCGATTCAGATTTAGAATATGAGAATGGAATTTTGAAAACTAAAAAATGACTTTAAAGAATGAAGTAAGAGAAAGGATATTGTAAGAATTAAGTAGAAAATTATGTGAAGAAAGAATAAAGAAAGGAAAATAAAATATTTGTATTTGTTTTACTTACCCCTCTGCATTTCAGGTGATTCCCCTCCTTTTCAGAACGAAGAATGTTGCTAAAGTTGACGCCGAAACTGGAAAAATAAATATTTCAAATTAATTTTCACATAAATAAATTAAATATAATTTTTCATAAAAATGGAATCTAAATATTTTGCAGCTAAATTATTTAAGCAGTATTATTTTTATTTATTATACATGAAAAACTAAAACTTCACCTGGTAAAGCAATATATTCTCTAAAATGTATAGTTTTGAATGAAAAAATTTTAGAAATTCACTAAAAAGCAGTATAATTTGTAACTGTTGCATGTAGAGTTTTCTTTTATTAAATCTGCTATTAATTTAAATAATTTAAAATCTAAGAGGTTAAAAAATGCAGCAATTTTTTTGAGAACTTTTCAAGTATCGCTGAGTGAGGAAAAGAATATAAACAATATTTATTCTTTATATTATTGTACAGCAGTTGCCATTAATGTCGAAAAATTAGTATTTTTTAAAAAAGTTAAAATTAAAAGGAATCTAATGGGTTAAAAAAATTGAGCAATTTTTTTAGGTGCTCTAAAAATGTTCCTAAATATGGAAAAAAATATAAGCAATAATTATTGTTTATATTAATGTACAGCAGTTATCATTAATGTTGAAAAATTAGTATTTTTTTTAAATGTTAAATTTAAAAGGAATCTTATGGGTTAAAAAATGGAGCAATTTTTTTGAAAACTTTTTAATAGTCCCGGAGTATGCAAAAAAATATTAACAGTAATTAATGATTATATTAATGTACAGCAATTGACATTAATGTAGAAAAATTAGTTTTTTAAAAAAAATTGTTAATTTAAAAGGAATCTAAGGGATTAAAAAATTGTGAAATTTTTTTGAGAGCTCTACAAATATTCCTGAGAATGGAAAAAATATAAACAATATTTATTCTTTATATTAAGTTGCCATTAATGTCGAAAAATTAGTAGTTTTTAAACAATGTTTAATTTCAAAGGAATCTAAGAAGTTAAAAAAAATGGAGCAATTTTTTTAGGTGCTCTAAAAATGTTCCTAAATATAGAAAAAAATATAAGCAATAATTATTGTTTATATTAATGTACAGCAGTTATCATTAATGTTGAAAAATTAGTATTTTTTTAAAAATGTTAAATTTAAAAGGAATCTTATGGGTTAAAAAATGGAGCAATTTTTTTGAAAACTTTTTAATAGTCACGGAGTATGCAAAAAAATATTAACAGTAATTAATGATTATATTAATGTACAGCAATTGACATTAATGTAGAAAAATTAGTTTTTTAAAAAAAATTGTTAATTTAAAAGGAATCTAAGGGGTTAAAAAATTGTTAAATTTTTTTGAGAGCTCTACAAATATTCCTGAGAATGGAAAAAATATAAACAATATTTATTCTTTATATTAAGTTGACATTAATGTCGAAAAATTAGTAGTTTTTAAACAATGTTTAATTTCAAAGGAATCTAAGAAGTTAAAAAAAATGGAGCAATTTTTTTGAAAATTTTTTAATAGTCCCGGAGTATAGAAAGTAAAAAAAGTACTGAATTAGTGATTTTTTTTTACTTACCCCTTTTCATCTTTTGTTTCCTCTTCCTTTATAATGTTAAGAACGAAGATTCAAAGTACAACTTCAGTGTCCTGTTGAATACTCTTTCCTTTATGTTCCCTCTCAAGACTGCAGTGCGATGCGTGTCTGCAAAAATATTTGAAATTAATTAGACAAAGAAAAAAATATAAATTATTGAAATTAATTCCCACACCCTGAGTAATTTTCTATTGAAAATGTTTTTATATAAATAAATAAATTAAAAATCTTATTAAACAAGATGATTTTTTTATTTTAAAAATAATGGACAATTAATAATAAATAGTTAAACAAAAGAATTGTTTATAAAAAAATTTAGTTTCATTATTTAACTTCCGTATAAAGAAAGAATAATTTACTCTTTAAAATATTGTATCAATGAAATAAAAATATAATTATTTAAATAGCAATTTATAATTAATTAATTTATAATGTACTATTTAATAGTAATTAAATATTAATTTTAATTACTATTTTCAATTACTGTCATTTTGATAACAATTTTAACCACAAATAATAATTAGAAATTGTTTAAAAAAAATTGTAATATTTTTTGGTACTTACTCAGTGCATCAGAGATGACCGGAAATTGAAAGGAAATTCCTGTTTGAAACTGTGTTGCTCTTTGGAGAATTCTTGAATATTCTATTTAAATAAAAATAGTGAATATTATTTTTTTGATTTGAGCTATTGGAAATATTTAAATTTATTTTTTGGCAAAATAAAACTTCACCTTATCAAAGAAGATAGAAGAACTGGGACGTTATGGCAAACTTATCATGGTAGAAGGGGAAATTTTCCATGAAGGTAATAAAAGAAGGGGCAAGGGTTCAATTTCAATTTCGTACTTTTATGGTCTTCAAAGAGCAGGTAGACAAGGGAAGAAACAAATCAACCTTCATTAACAATGGTCAGGGACGTTATCTTGTTTACAATTTGGGATTAATTTTTCCCTGTAATTCTGAATAATTTTAACGTTGACAAAATATTCAAATTATTTATTTACAAAAATTTTTAGTAATTTTCCACTCAAATTTAATATTAAAAATTAAAAAAAATCTTTGAAAATATAAAACTAAATACATTTTATCCCATTTTAGAAAATAGATTTATTAAAATTCTATGTTTATAATAGAAAAACATCGTTCCCCAAAATTATCGTACAGCAGTGGACATTAATGTCTTAGAAATTGTAATTTCATGAAATAGTCTAATTTAAAACAAATCTAGTGGGTTCAAAACGCCTTTATTTTTTTTGAATACTCACATTATATTTCTGAGTATTAATAAAATTAGAAACAATAATTACTGTGTATGAAAACGTACAGCAGTTGACATTAAAGTATGAGAAATTGTAATTTTATGAAAAAATTTAATTTAATACAAATCTAGGAAGTCCTTAATTTTTTTACATACTCAATATATAATTCTCATTATGAAAAAAATTATAAAAAATTATTACTGAGCACAAGAGCGTACAGCAGTTGACATTAAAGTTTGAAGAATTAAAATTTCATGAAAAAATCTAATTGTAAACAAATCTAGTGGGTTAAAAATGTCCTTAATTATTTTACATACTCAGTATATAATTCGGATTTTGAAAAAAATTATAAACAATAATTACTATGTACAAGATCGTACAGTAGTGCACATTAAAGTCTGAAAAATTGAAATTTCATGAAAAAATCTAACTTAAAACAAATCTAGTGGATTAAAAACGTCCCTAATTTTTTTACATACTCTAATATATAATTCTGATTATAAAAAAAATTATAAACAATAATAACTTTGTACTAGGACGTACAGCAGTGGACATTAATGTCTGAGAAATTGTAATTTCATGAAAAAATTTAATTTAAAACAAATCTAGTGTGTTGAAGACGCCCTCAATTTTTTTTACATTCTCAATATATAATTCTGAGTATTGAAAAAATTATAAACAATAATTACTGTGTATGAGAAAGTACAGCAGTGGACAGTAATGTTTGAGAAATGTGAATTTCATGAAAAAGTCTTATTTATAACAAATCTAAAGTAGCAGTTAACGCCTGCATAAGAATTACAGAAAACTTTGTTTTAAGGACATTTTTTTGTAGATTTGATTAAATTTTCTTTTCGGAAAAGGATTTAATAAATTGATATATTATTTATATTTTTTGACTTACCCATGCACTTTTTGTGTATCTTTTTTCTTTTAGCAATAGAATCAAAGATGCTGGGTGTATGTTGTGAAGATTCATCCGTTTTTTGTCGTTTCGTGTACTCCGTGCTGCCTCCCTCAGAAGTTTATGCTCTGTTATGACACTCTGTAAAAAAAATTTTGAATTTGTAAAAAAAATATAAATTTTTGGAGGTAATTCCATTATCTAAACATTTTCTTTCCGTTCAAAGTGTTTTCTTCACATTATAAAAATAAATTTTTAATTGCTTTTACATATGAATGAATGATTAAAACTGAGAATATTTTTTTTTATTTATTGTATCTCTTATGCATAAATAAATGAATTGCTATTAAAGTATTTAAAAGAATATATCAATAACTGAAAATTTATAAAAAAAATTCATTAATAAATAAACTATGAATATTTATTTAATAAAAATGAAAATAAATTCTAAATTATTTATTTCGTGACAAGCACTAGCACGTGACCTAACAATTACATATGATGTCAAGTAAAATTTTTTTCTACCCAAAAGAGTTTTATCATAAAAAATGAAGTTATTTAAAATATTTAAATTTAAAAAGATTCAACTTAAAATAGAATGTAGTTAAAAGAACGTTTCTTAGATTTAAATAAAACTTTTTGTTTGTGTTGGAAATAATAATTTTTATAGTCTGTGACTTACCTCTTTTTCATTTTGTATTTCCTCTTCTTAATGTCTTCAAATTACTCGAAAGAATACTTCAAATAATTTTTTTTAACCCAATCTACCTAATTAGTTTGATACTTTCCTAGCTAATATAATTACAATTTAAAAAATGGTTTTAAAATTCCTAGCTAAATTATTGTCAAAATCACTATATTTTAGAAAAACACTCATGATATTTTCAATCCAAAAAAATATTTAAAAAACACTTTGCGAATAACATCCTAATCTAATGAGAGCTAAACTCCTAATGAGGTTTCGAATATTTCCGGACAAGTTCGCTTCATGTTTCGGTGTCCTGTCGAATCTCGTTTCTTTTCCGATCGCTCACGAAGGACTTTGGTGTAGAAGAAAGCAGGTAGATGTGATAAGTCCCTGCCTAAAAAATTAGAAGTAAATTAGTGAGAAGAGAAAAAGAATACAAAAATATTATAATAATTATTATTGTTTTATTATTATTATATTATTGTTAAATATAAATATTAAAAATAAAATACAAATTAAAAATCTTAAGAATTTTTCTAGATTATCTTTTTTACTGCCTAACAAAAGCACTACAGATTTAATTTTTTTTAATTTTTCCAAATACAAACACCTCTAATTTTTTATTCACTTTGCAAATTACTTTGAATTCACTAAAATTAATTATAAATTTTGCCCTATCAAAAGAAAAAAAATCTTCCTTCTCTCCATTTGTTCAAACACACAGAAATTAGAAAATAACTCATTCCTCCCCCACCTCCCCAACAAAAAACACGTACGAAAATGGCAATAAACCCTTTATCAAAACTTGTGAACAAATTTTCACGTAATTTCTCCAAGTTCACACACAAGAAAGGAAGAGCAAAAACAGTGAGAGGAGGACCAAAAAAAAAATTAGAAGAGCAACGGGAATTCCTTTCAAGAAGGAGCAGAAAAAAAATCACCCTTACTGAAAGTTTAGTTCCAAACAGAAGTCGGGACACATTCCGGTTGAACATGCTCTTATTATTATTATTATTATCATCATGATATATATATCGAAAAACGAGCACTTCCAATCATAGAGAGACAATAGCTCCAAACAATAAGAACTCATCCAAGACGCGCCCTTTTCACCTTTCACCATGAGTGTTTATGGCATAGAACAACTCTACCGTGAAAAATCATCCCTCGTAATTAACCGTATACCCTATATAACCAACCTCCCCCGTCTGCGTATACATATAAACAACATTTTCTCACAAGTGAAAATGCGTTTTTTCAAGCGAGAAAAATTCACCGATCATTTCTTCACGCGTTTTTACCACGATGAATTGGGGTTCTTTTGTTCTTACTCCGCTTATATTGAATGTAGGTACTTGTGTACAACAATTTTCTCGAAAAAATGAAATAATATAGGTGCTTGTGGGAATTGGAATTTGGTTCGTATATTAATCTTACATTGAATTGAAATGACGGCGTGAGGTGGAAAATGCTTGATTACACACGATGAAATATTTACGCAATCGGGCGTTTAATTATATATAATCGTGTGAGGGGATTTTGAAAGGGAGATCATTGAATTCTCTTTTACAAAAAGAGTCTTCACGGTATAAATAATGATAAATTTAACGCACTAGAAGAAAACGGACAATAATTTTGCACCTAGGGAAGTATAGGAGCACTTTTACTGCTGTGGTTAATTTTGCCCCTCTAGGGACTAAAATGAATGTTTGTTCTCTAAATTAAAAGAGATTATTGCTAAGCGCAAAGCGTTTACTAACTTTTAAAGTGCAAATTTGTAATTTTAGTTCACAGACGCCTCCGCTTCAGTCGAATGGCGCTATAGTTCATTAATTTTAGTTCCCAGACGCGTCCGCTTGACAAAACACAAAAAGAGTGGCGCTGGGATATTAATTCTAATTTTAGTTCACAGACGCCTCCGCTTTAGTCGAATAGCGCTACAGTTCATTAATTTTAGTTCCCAGACGTATCCGCTTGAGAAAACGCAAAAAGAGTGGCGCTGCGATATTAATTTCACTTTTAGTTCACAGACGCCTCCGCTTCATTCGAGTGGCGCTACAGTTCAATATGTAACTTTAGTTCCCAGACGCATCCGCTGGAGAAAGTGCAAATAGATTGGCGCTACGTTATTAATTCTAATCTTAGTTCACAGACGCCTCCGCTTTAGAAAAATTTCGCTACAAAAACTATTATATATATTTTAAATCGTAGAGAATGTATTATGTACATAATAAATTTACTAGAATATATTTATAAAAAAAAGAGAAACAGAAAGTACATGTATACCAAGTTTTCCCGGGACGGCTTTTGTATAAATTCTATTCATGAATTACGTAAATGGATTTCAAATCTGTAATTTAAAATATACACATAAATCTGAATTGGATTACAGTTTGAATTACACCGGTAATCCAGGGAAAAGTCTCTATCCCCCCTTTCTTTCTCTCTCTCTCTCTCTCTCTTTTAAACGACAAATCTTATTATTTCTTTCAGTTCGCTTCCCAAAGTAATATTCATTCCATCTTCTCTAAAGAATATGAACAACCGCACACATTTTTCCGCACCCCAATTTCAATACATCAACATCTCCTCCTCTTGCCACCAATAACCCTAATCCTCGACCTGCGGTTCATAATATCAGAAACATGGGAATCCCCGCAACACATCTTTTGAAAAGCCAAACCACCGCATATATATAACGAGAGCAACCATACATATATAGATATATAGCAAAATTCAAAGTTACCCCTCATATACTCGTGGGCCGGCGTTGCATTAAATTTGACGTCGCGCGGCATAAACAAAGAGGGGTCCGATATTCCGTCGTCATTTCACTGGTGTCATGTACATGTGAGACGACCCTGCGGTTTAGCTTTCCAAAGTAGCATGCGGGATCCATCAGGGACATTCAAATATACAGAGTGGCATTATTTATGAGCATTTGGATCTGTATATGTATATACAAAATATATATATATGTACAAATACAATTGTACTCTCCGATGCTTGGATGCATGAAAGAAAGAGACTTGAAGGAGGCAAGAAGAAGAGGAATATAAGAATATACATACTACATACTAAGAATCTTTTTCTTCTCTTGCTATCTTGCTCTGTTTTCAAACCCAGACTTTTGGACTCGTGTATTTGAGCGCACTTGGCAAAAGTTCACTCTCCTTATAGCACCATACAAACAAATGTTTCCCGAAGAACGTGCCATGAATTTCACCCCCTCCCCACACATTTGGTCCATTTGCACGAAATCTGTTGTCTCTTTTTTTAATTTAAAAATAAGGTACTAATTTACTCTTAATAATTTGGAATCAATGACAAAGTAATTCTCCGGCAAAGAGTAATTAGAAAATTTCATTATAAAATAAATGCCTTCTTTCAATTTCCGAATCCCATTGTAAAAATCTGAATTATCGACCGCTGGTAATTACCATTACAGATATCTACAGTACCGACTGATGGTATTTTGCCATTACAGGAATTTAAATAACCGACAAATAATATTTTTCTATTACAAGAACTTAAATAACCAACTGATGGTACTTTGTCATTATAGACATTTAAATAACCAATTGATGGTACGTTGCCATTACATGAATTTAAATAACCCACTGATGGTAAGTCAAAGTTATCCAAAGTCCACAATTGCCATTGTCCCCAATATGTTACAAAAATCCCCAATTGCATTTTGACCCAAAATTCTATAGTTTGCGTTCTGGCGTACAGAGCACAAACTGCACATTGGGTACAATGGCAAGTGGGGTCTTTACCATTTTAAAACGGTACTTTACCATTATAAAAATCTGAATAAGAGACTGATAGTAATTAAATAAAAACCAGACTTAAAAATTTTTATTTTTTGCTGTTGCGACTTTAGAAATCGACTGCTGGTGCATTGCCATTATAGAAATCTGTATAATCGGCTAATGATACGTTGCCATTACAAAAATACGACAATGGCAAGTGGGAACTTTGTCGACATTCCAAATTTGAATAAACAATTGATGACACCTCGCCATTACAGAAATGTATTAACCCAATAGTGGTACTTTGCCATTACAGAAACCTCACTTATCGACAGTTGGTACGTTACCATTATAAAAACCTAAGTTATCTACTGTGGGTACGCTATAATTACAGGAACTTGTCTTACCTACTTTGGTGCTTCGCCATTAGAAAAATCGAAATTTTTTAATGTCGCTACATTGTCATTACAGAAATTTAAATAACCAACACGTTCTCCGTCAAAAAAAAGAAAAATACTTACAATATTCTCTCTTTTAGATTAACACAAATGGATAAGAAATTTTTTTTCTAGTCCCTAACGACACATTAAAATACAAATGTCAAGTATAATTTGCAATTTATGTTTAAATTAACGCATATAATTCCTGAGTAAAAATATTATCCACTAAAATTATACAAAGATAAAAAGAATGATAAAATCGTAAAAAAAATTGTGTATTATAACTGTCGCGAGCTAAATTATACACAGTCGTTTTATAACTTTTCACGGTAGGACAATTTTCTTCACTATATTAACTTTTTTATCTTGATTTTAGAAATGGAATTCTTTTCACATTGTAATATTTAGTTTTGCTTAGTCATTGTTGAACCGCATGTAATTCAACATTTTTCTTTTGCTTTGCTACAAATATAATTTCTGAGTTTGCCTTACAGTTTTCCTTAATGGGATTAAAAAATATCTTACAAATATTGAATACATTTTTACTGAATTGTTGCAAAATGTAAAATTGTGGTAAATATTATTTTTAATTCATATTTTTTAATTTAATTAAAATTTGTAATTTATAAAAGTATAATTTTAGTATAATTGTAGTAAGTATAATTTTGAAAGAAGGGAATTTATTGCAGTTACTCTGGAAATGAGAATTTTATCCAAAAAGGACGGGATTTTTTATTTGATTTTGATGATAATTTATGTAAACAATATTATTGGAAGCGATTTTTCGAGAACGAGTTCAGGAATAAAGGAATTGATAAATTATATAAAAGTGCATTCAGGAAAATATCAAGTTTGCTTACTTATGGGCAATGACACGAGCAAAATATCGAATAAAATTCTCTTGGAAATTGAAGGAAATTTTCCAACTCGAAGCATTAATTTTAACAGGATAAATGATTCTGAAGTGCTCTCAACTTTTCGGGGCAATGTTCGAAGAACAACCTTATTCATTGTAATGGCACCGTCTCAATTTTCCTCGCGGCTGAATAAAAATTTATCAACATTTTTCAATCAATTATCAACAAGGAGAATGCGACCCAAGTGTTTATTTATTCTACAAAAAATTCTGAAACCATCATCAACTAGAGAAATTCTCGAAAAAATGTGGAATTTATCAAAAATTTTCGATTTCACTATTT